AAACCAATCTGCAGATTGAAGGCAATCACTGTGAAATTTCTGACAGCCTGTTTTAATTTCAAAACTTAGCACTAAGCTATAGTAAATCAAACAGTTGTGGTATTAGCATCAGAGTAAATGTATAGCTCATGGACTCAAATAGAATAAAATATAAAACCAAAAAAGTCTTTGACCAGTTGATGTTGGACACAAGCGCCAAGTCCATTGGGTAGGGAGAAAATAGTCTCTTAATAAACAGTGCTTGGATCACACTATTCACATGCAAAGGGATAAGGATGAACGTTTATTTCATACCATATACAAAAATTAAAATGGGTCAAAGATCTAAATGTAAGGGCTGAAATTATAAAACATCTGGGAAAAAATATAATGGTAGAATTTCATAAATTTGGATTTGGCAGTAGATTCTTAAATATGACACCAAATGCACAAGAAATTGTAACAAAAATAGATAAATTGGACTTCATCAAAATAAAAAAAGACATGTGCATCAAAGGACATTACTAAAAAAGTAAGAAGACCACCTACAAGATGGCATAAAGTACTTCCAATTGTGTATCTGATCATAGTTTAATCCTTAGACTATATAAAAATATCTATAATCCAAAAATAAAACCAAGCCATTCATCTGTTGGTGGACAAATAAGCTGTTTCTAAAATTTAGGCCGCAAGCTCAAATGCCATATCTTTTCTCTCATAGGAGAAATAAATAATAGTGTAAATAAAGAGCAAAATGAAAAGGAAACAGGGAGATAGACCTACTGCAAATGACAAGGGGACCAAGAGATGGAGGGAGGAAGAAGAGGGGAGGGGAAAAGGATGTAAAAAAAAAGTTGAAATGTGCCGTGTACCTTCCCCAGATCCCCACGATGAAAGTATTATGTTTTCCAAACTTACAATAATAAATTTACAGTAATAAATTTAAAAAGACAACCCAATTTAAAAATAAGCAAAGGACTTGATTACACATCTCTTCAGAGAAGATTAGAAATAGTTCGTAAGTACAGGAAGAGAGGTTAAGCATCATCAGGTGTTAGAGAAAGGCAAATCAAGTAAGATAGCACGGTCACACCTACTAGGATGGCAGTCTTAGAAATAAAAAGAATAATAACGAAGCAGCAACAAGAGTTGCGAGAATGTGGAGAACAAGGAATCCTAACACATTGTTGGTAGCACTACAGTAAGATGGTACAACACTATGGGGAACAGTTTGATGGTGCCTCGAAAAGCTAAAATAGAATAACGGCATGATTCAGCAATTCCATTCCTAGGTTTATACCCAAAGGAATAAAAGCAAAGATTTTAACACGTACTTGCACCCCAGTATTCTTAATAGCATTATTTATACTATCCAGAGGGTGGAAGTGATAGATCATTTGATAAATAAATTTAAAATGTGATATATACATGCATAGAAATGCATTAAACGACAAAAGAATTGAAGTTGTGATACACCATGGAACCTAGAAACTTTAAGTCCAGTAAGCCAGAGACAAATGGACTTCACTTGTATGGAATAGGAGAACTAAAAAAGACAGCAAGTTAGAGGTCACCAGAGTTGCTTAGTGAGAGTGATAGGGAGTTGTTGCCTAAATGATGATGAAGTTTCAGTTTGAAAATTGGAAACATTTTTCAAATAGTGATGATTATGAAACTCAGTGACTGTAGTTAATGGCATTAAATTATATCATTAAAAGTGGTTATATTGGCACATTTAATGCTATATATATATATATATATTAAAATCAGAATTTTTAAAATTAGTAGCTATGAATTAATAAAATTAATATCACTGTAATCCATTAACTTGTAGGCCCCATGTGAATTGTATAGCATATGAGTGGTACCTCAATAAAGCTGTTAAAAATAAATAGTATAAAGTAATGTTCATGTCAGACCATGTTTACTGGTCATGACAGGTGAAGTTTTGTTTTTGGTTTTTGGTTTTTTTTTTTCGTTTTCTTCATTGCCTCCTTTCAATACTTACATACTGTTATAATCACTTCCAGGTTCTTTCAACAGCTTTCAGTTTTGTCAGTAAGGAGTGACAGAATTCATGAAGTGAGTTCTTTTTTGAGGTACACATGTGTTCACTGAATTAAAATTAGAAATTCCGATGAGAATTATTCGCATTCTATACTGATGTAAGTCTCTTTAGCCTGCCCACCGGGCCATCTTTTAACAGTGGCTGCCTGTAGTTTGCGTAGAGGAAGTTCATTATAATTTCAGGGAACACACAAGAAGTTCCTGGAGGAAAACAAGTATGGCCCTTGCAGCTTCCTTTTGTCTGTTCAGTATTTCTAAGTCAATTCCTTGTTCATTCCCAGAGGTCACTGTGTTCTTTGAAACCTCAACCCATAAGAACCATCTGCCTATTGACAGATAAATAGGTTACACACTGTATTTTTAGCCTGGTGCAGACTTCAGAGCTGTCGTTGTATAATTCAGTGTTACAATCCGCAGAGAACTTCATAGTCAGATACGTATGTCATTGCCCTCACATTTTAAGTAAATTTGTTTTCATTGGAATGTCAGACAGATGATTGATGAGGAAAATCTGTATCGGAGAACTGAAAATAGCAGTAGTGTGGAGTGACGTGAGAAACGTACCTAATAGAAGTAGCTTTAATTGATGTGTAACATTTCACTTTATACATTGGGAAAGACATTACAATTCAAACATAACAATCCATGCATTCCCAAGAAAGGAAATCATGCCTTGGACCTTAGAGAAATAAAAGTAGTGTGAGGCTACTAATAAAATTTGAAATAGGAGGATGTTACACTTGCCCACCTTTCCCTCTCCACACACTGACTCTTTCCTCATTGATTACAACTCCACATTCTTCCCCCAGGAATCATCTTCCTTTTTAGAGTCATGCAATCCCCAAGATCTAAACACTTTCTTTTTTTTAATGGAGAATTATTCAGGACTTAAACACCCTTTCGGAAAAGTAGCTTCAGTAATTACCTTAGTGTGGTTGGGCGTGTTATCCATTTCCCTCACTTTTGCCTGTCCTGTTGGTCTGTGTCATGTGAGGTCCCAGTAGCCCAATATCAAAACTCGTCACCTCTGTTACAGTCCTTGGTGTTCCTGGCACCTTCCTTCTTCCTGGTTGGACTCCCAAGCCTGTCCCTTCTATTTGTAATCACCTGCCCAGCCTTTGGAGCACCTGTCCTATTTGCCCTGTGGTCCGGATTCTTCTGCTTCCTGCTTTTATGCCCAATTTCAGCCTGGATTAATTTTCCTGAGCCCTTCCTGTCAGTGGCACCCCCATATTTACCTCACTCCTAATTTCCCTGTGCTTGGAGACTCCTGACCTCATCTGCAGTATTTCTGGAGCAACCCTCACTCTGGCATTTTTGACACCTTTCAGAACTGCCCTTCATTCCCTTCCCAGTCCCCACTTTGGATGGCAACATGTCCTACCCCTATCATTTCCTGAGCTTACTACCCTGACAAATTAACACAGACTAGTCTTGGAAGAAGTTAACAACAAGGTAGTGAACATAATTGATGCGATCCATAAGCATTACACTAATGGTAAAGGACTTAACAGATACTTGTGCACTTGTTTAAGGATTACCCTATGACCTTTCTTTTCAATCAATAATCCACAAAATAGCTGCAGGTGGCCCTATTCATCAAAAACCGAAATGTAGCCTCAGTGATGGTGAACTATTTCATCTGCTACATATTCAAACCAATTGCTGAAAAACGGTGGGCATGAGAAGCTTGGGAGGCACTGACCCCACAGGGGGATGAATTGGTGGCCCAGCGTAATAGTCCAGATTTGTCCATGAGACTCAGCAGTGTTGCTGCTTCTCAGAAAAGGACTATGTGGTTCGGAGAGGTGACACTAGGAGGTCGGGCCTCTGGAAATTGCTTCTTGAAAAGCAAATCAGTGAGATTCCTCTTTATTTCCATTTCTGTTAGGATTTGGTGGTATATTACCAGCTTGTTGCTTCTCAGGATAGCCTGATTAGTCAAAAATATTCATGCATTATATATTCTTCCTCCTGCTTGCCCTGAAGACACTGGAAATCATCCCAGCCTCAATCAGTCCTCCATTCTCCAGTCCATGTGTGTGTGCGTGTGTGCTTATATGGGAACCTTTCCTTATACTGTCACAGGTTACAGTTATCAGTTACGTTATTGCTGTTCTTATGAGAGTTATTTTTCTTCGTCAGTTTTAACCAAGTATGCTATGGCTCCTTTTCTTCTAAAAATATTATTAAAAGAAAAATCATCACTTTAGGAACTCAGCTAACTGGTGAATTATGTGCACGTAGGTCTGGTATATGAGATTACCAAAGGCTGGCCTCATTATGATTCTCATGAATGGAAGACTAAACATAAAACTTCTTCAGAAGACTTAAATTTAAATTTGCTGATTGAAATTCTAAAGACTCTGACTTTAGAATTTTATAATTGTCTTCAGGGTCTTCAAGGTCAGGTAAATGGTCTTTGGAGTGTGAAAGTTTTACTCTTTTGCCATCTAAGGAGTCTGACAGTGGCCTTTCCCCACAACCAGTTCAGTTTCATGTTCCGTTATCCTCTGAGATGTTGCCTTGTTGGAATTTCTTGAGTAATATTTTAATAATTCAGTAGTGGCCGAGGAATTTAGCTCAGTGGTTCCGGCACCTGCCTGGCAAGCTCAAGGACCCGAATTCGATCCCCGGTACCAAAAAAATATATTAATTAATTAATTAATTAATTAATTAATTAATAATAATTCAATAGTAAACCCAATTCATGCCAAGTTTGTTTTTTTTTTTGCTTGGGTTCTTGGGGATCTAAATATTCAAGAGATCATATCACATTTGCTTTCAAGAATGTAGTTGTCTTGCTGTATTTCCAAAAATGATTTGTGACAATATGTGCATGAAAATAAGTATGCTGGCTGTACAATGTGTTTCTCAAAAGTGTCTACCAATCAAAAACTACACTCCAATATTTATTTATTACCTATTTTTCTGGTGGCCCTATATATTTTAAGGAAAACTGAGAGAAATGGGAAATGTGCCTTTGTCAATCCAGTCTATGGGAACTGGAGCAACACAGAGAAAAAAGAGGTAAGTGGCAGTTGTGAATTATATTATTGCCAAAGCATGGACACACACACACACACACACACACACACACACACACACCCGAACTAGTTTTGTTTGAGCATGTTTCAACATTGTGGTTAAAAGAAACATCTTAATGGGGTGATTTAAATTGGAAGTAGAAAGGAGTTTCAGTCTCTATAAATGTTCAACAAGAATTTCCCATTTCACCGCAGTTCTGACCTGCTTTTAAAATCAGTTCACTGCTAAATGGCTTCATGGTCACTGTTCATATTCAGAGCTGAAAAAAATCTAAAAATCTGGGAAATATCAGTTTGACCCACAGAGTATTAGTTGGCTATTCGCAGTAAATATTCATTGACTGTTCTTCAAGTTTCATTCTCAAAAGACTAAAGGAAGTATAGCATTTTGTACTCTCTTTAAATGTAGGTGCGAGTAGTCAGGACCATTACCTAATAATGTAGGCGAGGGAAATAGAAATAATGCCTTACACATTTCTTGCCCCTGTGGGGGGAATGAAATAACAAGTAGGTTAAAGCAACGATGTCAAGGAATTTTTCTTACTTTTCCTTTTTTAATTGTTACATCCATTTGTAGGTTTATTGCAGTATACTGACAAGTAAAAGTTGTAGACGTTTAAGAGATACATGATTATCTATGAGAGAAATTAAAGCCATAATTAACATACCTGTCAGTGCACTCCCTTCCCACCCGCATGTGTATGTGAGCTCTCAGACTCTTACGTGTTCTCTCTGAACAAATATCCACTGCACAATGCGGTACTCTTAACCAGAGTCACCCTGCCACAGAGGAGCTCCCCAGATCTTGGCCCTCTTATCAAAAACTGTGTGCTCTTTCAGAAACATCACATCCCATCCTTAGATACGTGAACATTCATCAGATATGAAATAAGATTAGTCATGACTCACTGCATCCTATTGACGAAAGTTTCCTTACATTTTGGTTTGGAAACATTATTTCAGATTTATTCTCATAAAATACAGTATATGGACAGCTAGTTTTGTTTTGTTCCTTATTAAGCCATAGGAAGTTTCTTATTTGGTTGTTATTATTGAAAATGACTATCAAGGTATCAGATTAGATGATTTCTAGTAGTTTTAGAGCCTTTGGTGATGTGGCTGGAGTCTAATATAATCCTTGGCTTTTTATTTCCATGTTTTCCTCAGCTATGATGCACACTTTCAATATTTTTATGGTAGAAATGAGAAAGAAGGTATTTCCCTGAACACAGAGAATTGATTTTAATGATGTATCAATGAATTAAGACAATAAAAGCAAAAATGCAGCCCTGTGTAGTGGAAAATAAATACAGACAAGCATTTATTCTGATTTTAAGTATTTTTAAGTATTATTCTGATTTTAAAAATCAGAAGGAAGGTACAGTATAAACCTATTTTCATTTTGACCCAGGGGGAAAAATCTTTCTTTTAGCATCACCTTATATCAACTTTTAATATCTATAGATAAAATTGAGTTGTAAAGGATTACAATAAAGTATTTTAGATTTGGTTATTTGTGTTAGCATCTCACAGGTTTGCAGTAGTTAAGTGGCTAGGAAGATGCTGTGTGTTCCTTATTTTCTCCTGGGAAGAAGATTCTATGGAGTTCAGATCTTCGCTTCTCATCATGAATAGAAAAGGTTGAAACCCAAGACCCACTCTCAGCATGCGTGTTGTACACACACACAGCAGTGCAAGTGATGACTCTAGAGAAACTTCAGAGCAGCTTCTTTTTATTTTCCATTCTGATCAAAGAAAAATTACTCCTTTTTCAAATACCTCTTTTCTTTCATTAAGAATGACTGACGAAGAAATCCCATCACATTTGCTGACCTTTATTGCTGTTTTGATTTCAGTTGTATCAGAAAAAATTGACTTGATATTAAGTCTATTTTCATTGATATAGTAAAAAAATAAGCTTCAGATATTTTACTAAGAACTCCGATGGATAACTCGTATTCTGCTCTGGCTACTGAGAGGATGGAGTAAAGAGAATTTCCAGCATCAGCCACCAGCTTTCTTACTTCACTACTGTTTACACCTGTTCCCTCAACCCACTGGAATTTTAAGTAAATGCCAGCTATCTTTTATATTAGCTTTCCCATTGATGGGACCCAGTGCCTGATGCCCACAAATCAGTGAAGGAGAGGTTTATTTGGTCCACAGGTCTGTGACCAGCTTGCTGTAAGTCAGGAAAGTCAAGACAGAAAGAGGTGGCAAAGCAGAGATACTTAGCTCATGGTAACCCGGAAGCAGAGCTCACAGTGACCTGGAAGGAAAACAGTAGAACAGTTCCAGAGAGGAAGGGGAATGGGACTGGATATAGTACCCAAGGTCAGGCCCGCATGATCCATACACACTCACCCAGAAGACTGCTTTACTAATCCCCTACGTGGTCACCAAGGTGACCAACTGCGTATAATTAAAGTGTATCTTGCTCATCATTTAATTTTCAGTCTAAAAACCTCAACTGTATCTTTCAGTGATACAGAAATTTTTGAAAATGTAACCACAGTATCATAACCTGAACATTTAACAATGATTTCTTAATATCATCAATTATTGTGTTTTGACCTACCTTAAATCTCTCACAGATAAGTTGTATTTTTAAAACCAGAATCTTTAAAATATATGCATCCAAATTGATAGATTTCTTATGTCTCTTTTAATTTCTAGCTTCCATTTTCTTTTATTTTTTCTTGCAAATTATTTTCTTGAAGAAACCAGCATGTCCTCTAGAACTTTCCATTCTTTTAACTTTCAAATCCTTGCTCTTATATGCAATTCCACTGATTTAAAGCTGCTGATTTCTTTTTTTTTTTTTTTGTATTTTTCTTAATATACTGTTAAACATAACTTTATTTGGTACAGCAAGCTTAGTGAAACTGGCACCGAATAAAGAGGAAGTCAGTCTTGGCCACTGCATTCCTGCATCCTACAGAGTTAAGGATGACCTAGCAGAACCCAGCTCCAGAGATGCTGGGACCATGTGTAGACCAGCCTGTCAGAGGTCCTGCAAGACCCTCTTGGGGTGTGGAGAAAGACCCAGGGATGCAGCCATTCTGCCTGCAGTGAAAATCCTTTGGGAACTTGCTGCATTCTGCGTAACTCTTACAGAAGATTCTAGTTTTAATGCCCCAAATCCTAACCTTTAAATACGTATTTCTTCTCCAGAGTTCCATATACTCCTTCTCAAATCCATCTTACGGTGAACCATCAAGAAACCTGGAATCTATGGCTCATCCTTTCAAACAGTAGAGTCAAGATCAAGTTGGAACCAAAATGAGTAGTTCATAGCAAATTATACTCTCTAAGCCCTATTTACATGATAGTAAAAGGAGAAAAAATTCAAAATGATAGTTTGTGGTAATTATAACATTTACAAAAAGATTTTCTAGCACAATTTATTGAATATTTTCATGGAATCAGAATCAGTATCTTCATATGAATACTTTAATAAAATGTTCTACTTAATAAACTTCTTTTCCTTTGATTTTGTGCTGGTTATTTCTTAAAGTGATGAATATAATTGCTTCAGATCCTGAATGTAAAGAAGTATTCAAATGCTTATTTTTTTGCAGTATAGCTTAGAAACAAGGGCAAACCTACTTGCTGCACAAACTAGCAGAAATGTACAAATCATAGTAAACCTGATCAACATCACCAGAGTAAAAGCTATTTCTGCACCTTGAAAAATATATGATGAATAGTACTGTAATACCTTTTCCAAATAATCACGTGGCACTTTTATAAAGATATAGAGTAATGCTGACATAGAGGTTAAGATGCTTTGGAGTAAAAGAAACTAAAAAAATCAGTTTGAATGGCTTAAATAATATACCAGTTATCCTACAAATCAGTAAATGAAGAGATGGGCACCTCTTTGGTTATTGTAGCAGTCCTAGGACCTCAGCAAGAGCCTTGGGTATTTGTAGGTCTTCTTGCCCACACTGCACTTGGAAGTTAGTTCCTCAGTAGGGTAGATGATAGCTACATAAATTGAAGCATTATTGTATTAACAATAAAGTTTAAAGACAGGGTGCACTACACAGCTTCTTGCAAGTCATATTTAACCTACTAGGTAATCCCCCCAGCATGCATTTCTAGGAACAACGTTGTTCTGATTGGCCAGGCAAGACATGAGGCTGATGCTGAGCCAATCCCTTCAGAGGTAAAGAGGCCACCACCGTGATTGACTGGGCCCCTTCACTCTACCGTGGGGTTGAAAATAGACCCGTGGAGCACATTGTAAAGCAGATGTTGGAACAAAACTCAGGTTCAGAATGTGATAGTGAAAGTTTTTGTACCACTTCATGAAAGCATAGTCTTGCCTAAAAATATCATTTGTAATTAATCTTGCAATATATCAACCTCAAAGTTTATCTGAGTTAATTTTTTGAACCTCACTAGCTGCAATATTGTGTTACTCTGTGTTAATCTTTTTTTCAATTAGTGCTCTCACAGTAAAACAAACAATTTCTGATTCTAAAAACATAACACAAGAAAAGATCAGTAGTGGTTGTTTTGTTGTTGTTGTTTTGTTTTGTTTTCTAAGTCTGTCCCCTGGCATTGTGGGACAGAAGCGTTTTTTGGAAGTCACCCTTGTTCTTGCCAAAAGTTGTCATCCACTTCTGCCTAGTATCTTTGCCTAAGTATACAGGAGCCTTTAAAAAGCATTGAGTGAAAATTGAGATATGGTCTCTGTAAAGATCTCACAGCAAGTACATGAAAAATGTGAGGAAAATATAACTTTTATAAAATCCGTAATAAAAATGATCATTCAGCCTAAACTCGCTTTGATGCTGAGAGAACCCATGACAGATGGGATGCTCCAGATTTTGAATAATGACATCAACAGAGTGGAAATGACAGTACTTTTAAGAGTATTTAAAAATATCTTCACGTGTAACTTATATGTGCCCTGTGTTTTAATCTAACATTTTGTAAGGTCATATAGGTACACATGACACATAAAACTAAAGGAATTAAACTTTTCTTATCCAATAAGTAGAATAGGTAAGGACCCATGTTCAGTTTTCCTGATCTAATTGTGAGATTTAGAAATAAATTATTTTTATTTGTATTTTTCTCTTCTGCTGAAAGCTTTTTGGTATAAGTCCACACTTGCACCATTGTGATTTTAAGATGAGGTAAAGTAGGACTAAAGGACAACAAACAGGATAAAGTTTGTAATTTGTCTAACTCAACTTTAAATCATGAAAACATCTGAAATTTCACCCTGGCAGAGAATTTCTTCAAAGTGATTTTATTTTGTTAATTTTTTTTTCCTGGTACCGGGGTTCAAACTAGGGTCCTTGCACTTGCGAAGCAGGCGCCAGAACCACTGAGCTAAATCCCCAGCCTGAAGTGATTTTGTTTTTTAAACTACAGATGTCAAGTGAATGAGCCCAGTGAGTACTGCTGGAAGGTTCTTGGGGCTCTTAGTGTACGGACATTTATGACAACGCCTTATTATTTGACTGGTTTCATGTTACGAAGCCATTTCCCAAAATATACTTTAATCACAAAATAATATTTATAGCAACAGCAAACGCTAAAAGACAGTGATTCTCTGCAACACACTGTCCTATTTTACATATTGTAACTCATAAATGTAGTGTTTGTATACTGTGATAGTCACTAGCTACATATGGTTATTTACTATGAAATTTAAATTAATTCCAACTAAATATAATGAAGTTGTTGTCCCTCACTAGAATTAACCACATTCCAAGAGCTCAGGCCACATGTGCCTCATGGCATGTGGATTGGACAACACGGAAAGAGTCCCATCATATCAGGAAGTGTTTTGGACACTGACTTACAGTAATGTTGCAGTGATATGTTGCAAATAGTAAAAATAATCTATAAACCTGATAAAGTTTTTCCCAGTATATATATTTTAGCTAGAAGCAGCCCATCTTCAGACAATAATGATAAATTACAATAAGACAAAGCATACTTACTTAGCTGAAGGAAAACACAACATATATGAAGTGTCTTAATACTTTTTTGTCACATAAATGTCACATATCATTCACATATCACCTTTACCTCTTCCATTATTTTATATTTAGATGGCACATTGAAAACTGTAATAATTCGCTTTTCTCTTTTTTGTCTTCTTTACACTCAATCATTTTTCATATTTATCACACCAAAAACCAAAGGCTAAAGTTCCAGTTTGTTTTTAGATAACAGTCACCTTGGTTTTAGAACAGAAGGTCACACACTCAAAGTAAACCGATGACTATATTCAGGATAATATCTTTTGCAATAGGTAGCACTAAGCTTCATCCTTATAAATAAAAACCAAAGAAAATTCATATTAACATATAAAAGAGTAGAGAAATTTTTCCAAAAAATGCCTATATAAAACGAATCCTTCAAGTAAATATTTTAGTGTCAAACCAATGCCAGCTTTGTGATTCCTAATGTTATCCTGCTTTTCTTTGTGACAACTTGCAAAACGTTTCACCCTTCATTGCTAAAATGTTTAAGGAATCACTGTGTGGATTAAGATTTAAATCAAGGGACCATCCAAATCAAGATCTTAAGTCTGAATAATTAATTACAAGTGGAAAGACATCACTTTCTATAAGCGTCCACTTGGTGAAATTTCAGTGAAACTAGGTACGTTTCATATCTTGAATTAAAGAACTCTGTTAACTGTGAGGTAGTTGAAGTCTGCATAAAAATGAATGATTATAAAACAGGAATCCATCTAAAATTCACACTGATACATGTCATTCAACATTCTGAGGCCGGGGATTTAGCTCAGTGGTGCTGCCACCTGCCTCATAAGCTCAAGGACTGGAGTTCGATCCCTGTTACCTCCACCCCAAAAAAAGAACATTCTGAAGGATGAAGTGCTCTGAAGAGTACGTTCCTTCCTCTAGAATGTGGAAGCAATAATAAAGAGCGTTCTATTTCTCCAGTTTTGAAAATATTTGCTTTTATATTTAGGCCCATTTTGGGCAAATTTAGAGGCAGCTTCCTTAGAACTTCATATGATTTGTCTGGAATCCTGTTGCTAAGATGTCATGTTAGGAAGTTAACATAATTATCTGCTGTTGATATGATACTGAACCAATAAAAGTAGTGCTGACTTAATAGATCATGAAAAAAATGTTTCTCTATGAGTTAATTCAACAACAGATACTTGTTAAACATGTAACTTATTACTAATAAACTTCTCGCTAAAAAAGATTTAAATTTAGTCACCATAGGATGTTTAGACTTGCCAAAATTGGTTCAGCAAGTCTTTGTAAATATTTTCAGCAAAAGAAAAGAAAGCAATAAGACAGTAAGGAAAAGGTGAATAATAATGTAAGTAGGGGGCCTGGACTTTGATGCAGGCCTCAAGATCATTCCTGATGCTAGCAATAGCTTTTCGTCAAGAATATAAAGTAAGAAACTAATGAAATAGAAAACATATAAAATGAGTGGATCGACAAAACTAAATGTCATTTCTTTTGGGAAAATAATAAATGATGAAACAAAAATATTAAACGTCTGGTGAAACAAATTTTAGCATGAATTATAACACCCAAATAACACAAATCCAAGAAAAAAAAATATGTCCAAATAGCAAATATCAGAAAGGGAAATGGTGTACACACCACAGATCTTATCAAACATTGAGAGGGTTAGGAAGATATTGTGAAAAACAACAGCAAGACAAAGATAGCAAAATATAAAGAAAATAAATTCCTTGAAAATACAATTTTATAAATTAAGCAGATGAAATAATTTTTGGTGTTTTTTGTTTGTTTGTTTGGTACCGGGGCTCAAACTCGGTCCCTCGCTTATGGGGCAGGCAGCAGAACCACTGAGCTAAATCCCCGGCCCTACTCTTATAGAATCCAGCAACACAATTCTACCTGACTTCAACTTTCCTAATAAGTCATCAGTGCAACATTCTGAAGTAATGTTTTGTTATTCTGGACAAATCAACTCACTTTTGTTTCAGATGCAAATGTATATGGAACCATGTAAAGCCTGGTAAGAATAAAATGAAGATCTCTTGATACTGTTGAAGATTAATCTGCTCATTGAAACAGTTTTCAAGGGTAGAAGGGATTGGGTACCAAATTGAAAGCGGTCTTCTGATAGAACTCAACATTAAAATCATATTAGTATCAAATAGGACAATAATTTATGCAAATGTGCCTGAAAATTATTCACCATTTCCTAGCTGAAGGAACAGGAAAATGTATTCCTTCATTTAAATGAAATCAATTCTGTCCAAGTACATAAGTTTCTCATTCAAGCCCAAGTATAATTGTGTCCCATGTCTGGACACAGACATTCCAGTATATGTGGGACAAAAGCAGAAGAATTTTATGATG